TCACAGTTTTTTAACCTCTGGCTCACATACTTTTGTCTTAGCTCAGGAAGGGATGGCTCCAGAGCAAGCTAATCTATGCAGCAGCCAAATCGCTCGCTCACAACTTTGATGACAGGGGCTCACAAAGTGGAATTTTTGCTCACAAGACTCCGCAGCTTAGAGGGAGCATTTCCACCTGGATCTAACTTTGATGCCAGGGGCTCACAAGGTGGAATTTTTGCCCACAAGACTCCACAGCTTAGAGGGAGAATTACCCTGTTGGTATGTCAGTTTTTACTTTTGGCTACCGTACAAGCTAACAGCTTCCAAAACGCCCTATCGTTAACAGCCTGCCTCACGTCTTGCAGGCTGGAGGCCGTGACTTCTCTTTTTTGAGGCGATCCATCTCACCGTATCTCCAAAGGGACACTGCAGAGCTGGAAAAAGTGCACTCTGGATGACTAGGGGGTTGGAGCACCTTCCCTATGCGGAAAGGCTGAAGAACTGTGGTGACTGAGGGAAACCTCCACTTTTGGAGACACCAGTCCTCTGAATCCCAGAGCCACGAGGCAACATCAAGGGAAGGCCTCGGCCTCTGTGCCCTGTTGCTGGTCCTCCAGAGGAACTAGTTAGCCCCTGCGTGAGGCAGGATGCTGGACTAGATGGACCCCTGGTCTCATCCGGCAGGGCTCTTCTGAGGTTCTTATGAAGGCCTCGGCCTCTGTGCCCTGTTGTTGGCCCTCCAGAGGAACTAGTCAGCCCCTGCGTGAGGCAGGATGCTGGACTAGATGGACCCCTGGCCTCATCCAGGAGGGCTCTTCTGAAGTTCTTTTATTTCTTTTATTTTATTTATTTACCTTTGGATTTGCATCCCGCCCTCCCTGAAGGCTCAGGGCGGCACACAAGGGGCCTTCTTATGAAGGCCTCGGCCTCTCTGCCCTGTTGTTGGCCCTCCAGGGGAACTGGCTGGCCACTGTGTGAGCCGGGATTCTGGACTAGCTCGACCACTGGTCTGATCCAGCAGGGCTCTTCTGGTGTTCTTATGAAGGCCTCAGCCTCTCTGCCCTTTGTTGAGACCAGATGCTGGACTAGAAGGACCCTCACTGGTCTCATCCAGCAGGGCTCTTCTGGTATTCTTGTGAAGGCCTCAGCATCTCTGCCCTTTTGATGGCCCTCCAGAGGAACTGGCTGGCCCCTGTGTGAGGCAGGATGCTGGTCTAGATGGACCACTGGCCTGATCCAGCAGGGCTCTTCTGGTATTCTTGTGAAGGCCTCAGCATCTCTGCCCTTTTGATGGCCCTCCAGAGGAACTGGCTGGCCCCTGTGTGAGGCAGGATGCTGGTCTAGATGGACCACTGGCCTGATCCAGCAGGGCTCTTCTGATGTTCTTATGAAGGCCTCTTTGCCCTGTTGTTGGCCCTCCAGAGGACCTGGTTGGCCACTGTGTGAGGCAGGATCCTGGACTATATGGACCCCTGCTCTGATGAGCTTGGTTCTGGGTTCCTTGAAACAGAGCTTCCATATTTAACCCTTGCAACCTATATCCCTCTTCCTTGATCTTCCATTGCGCTCTTATCTCCTTGGGCCAGGATCCGGTCTGTTTCGTTGCGGCATCGGTCTGCAAGAACACCGTGTACATCGGCGGTACTATAAAAATACTAATATATTTTTTTTGTTCTTATGAATGTTTTACAGAACTAATATCCAGTCCTCTTCCGCTAGACTTGGAAACCAGTTATATCAACAGAAAGATTTTCGCCAAGCTACTTTCCTCTTCAGGAGGGGCCTGAAGGTATGGTGTCATGTATAGCGATTGTGCGAAGGCTCCCTCTGTGGGTTCTCTCCACAAAGGATATGGGGTGTTCTAGGTCAGGTCCAAAGAAAGCGAGCGAGTCTGGTGTAGTGGTTAAGAGCAGTGGACTCTAATCTGGACAACCAAGGGCCATTCCCCACTCCTCCACATGCAGCCAACTGGGTGACCCTGGGTCAGTCACAGTTCTCTCAGAGCTGTCCTCTCAAGAGCAGTTTCTGTCAGAGCTCTCTCAGCTCGACCTGCCTCACAGGGTGTCTGTTATGGGGAGAGGAAGGGAAGGAGATTAACAATCAAATCATTAAAGCCATTGAAACAGTTCGTTAAAAGAATATGGCATTACATATTAAGTGCTAGCGATGTTATTCCAGTGTCACAGCAGTGGCGGTGCTGCATGAGTGCATACCACATGATGTTCATTTCCAGCGTTGATTGCACTCGGCGCGCACAGGCTGTCGATAGTTCACCAGGAACCAGGCTATACAGTTGTCACTAGTGACAGTTACTAGTGATGGTAACTCGTGATGGTGGCGGCTCCTAATTGAAAGCCTGGTGGAAGAGCTCCGTCTTGCAGGCCCTGCGGAACTGCAAAAGGTCCCGCAGGGCCCTGATCTCCTCTGGGAGCTCATTCCATCGGTAAAGTGACAAAAAAAAACCCCGGCCCGCTGTGTTCTGCTGTACCTTCTGCTTCTGTCCAGTCAAGAGTCACGGTTTTGTCTTTTCTAGATTGAAAGTCATTCTGTTACTTTTTAGGAACATAAAATATGACTATGGACATTTTTACTTGGCATGAAATTATCACAACTAGCATATTAAAAATATAGTGTATCCAAACAATTATTACAAACAGAATACCCACCCACATGCAAAAACAAAACTGAAACTTTTTTATTTTCTTCTGACAATTGCACCTCCTAAAGGAAGAAATGCATCTTGTTCTTGCATTGGAGAGTTCAGTTTGTAACCTAGGACTTGCTTGTCCTCAGTGCACAGACATTAGATCAATCTGATACCATATATATATGATTTGGAAAATATTTGAACACCTTGTCCTAAAATATTTTATTCATCATGTTAAAATAAAACGTTCCATAATCAATTTTTCGGAAAAAAACAAAAAGGCTTCAGGGAAAAAAACGGGGGGAAACCGGGTTCCCCCCTCCCCCGAATTTTTCCATTTTTTCCCCGGGCCTTCACATCTCTAATCAGTTGGTTGCAGCAAAAAAATTAAACAGGAGCTCGGTGGAACCTAAAAAGACTAATCATTTTATTCCGGCCGGAGTTTTTGTGAACTGGAGCCGACTTCATCCAGTGTAACGGCACAGTTCACATCAACACACGATCGACGCTGCCTTCTCCTGAATCAGGTCCATCAAGATCAGGATTGTCTACTCGGACTGGCAGCGGCTCCCTGGGATATAAGCAGAGCTATTTTGCGGCGTTCCGGCTGGCTCCCGAGTTGGCCACACCCAGCAGGAACTCATTAGCATAATAGGCCACACCCAACAGCAGGAACTCATTAGGACTGGCTACAGTAGGGGTGTGTGGCCTAACATGCAAAGGAGTTCCTGCTACAAAAAAAGGCCCTGGGTTTGGACAACAGAATAAGAAGGGAAAGGTGGGTGTGACTGGATGACCACACTTCTGGTAACATGGGCGTGTGGCCTAATGTGCTGATGAGCGGTGCTGTCAGGATGTGGCCCAATATGCTAATGAGTTTTGCTGTTGGGTGTGGCCTATTATGCTAATGAGTTCCTGCTGGGCTTTTTCTACAAAAAGAGCCCTGGAAGATTTTCAGGATCTAAGTTTTCAGAGCTCCCGTATGTGGCGAGGGGAGCGTTGACTCTTGAAAGCTTATCCCCTGGAAATCTTAGAACAAATTTAGAGTCCAGGGGGCACCTTTAAGACCAACAAAAGTTTTTTCAAGGTATGAGCTTTTGTGTGCAAGGCACACTTTTTTCAAATACATCAGAATGGAAGAGGAGGTTCTAAACTTACAGACAGGGATTTAACAGCAAATTAACATAACGCTGAACTGCAGGCTGTGGAAGGTCGGTAGTTCAGCAGTTCGAGACCTGAGTGCGCCACATGATGGAGTGAGCTCCAGTTTCAGCTCCTGCCAACCTAGCAGTTCGAAAACAAGAAATTGCAAGTATATAAATAGGGACCACTTTGGTGTGAAGGTAACAGCGTTCCGTGCACCTTGGTGTTTAGTCATGCCGGCCACATGACCACGGAAACGTCTTCGGACAGCGCTGGCTCTTCGGCTTTGAAACGGAGAGGCTAGGACCCTATGCCCCTAGAGTCGGATTCGACTGGCTTTAGAGCAAGGGAACCTTTACCTTTAACATGTAACATGATGATGTTTTAAGTTCTGCAAAGTTAAAAACTAGATAACAAGGTTATAAGGTCAACAGTTGTAAAGCAATAAATATGTCACAGTAGCCTATACATGTCTAAAGGTGTTTTTCCTAATTGTGGGAAGTGACACAATCTTAATTGTCTCCTATCAGGCATGGAGGGCCCGAGGAGGGCATGTAACAGTATATTTTGCGCTGGGTGTATAAGTTTAGAACCTCATCTGCCATTCCGTTGTATTTGAATTTTTTTCAAGGTGCTCGTTCTTACCTATGAAGCCCATTATGGTCAGGGGCCAGCATACCCCACATGTTCCCCAGAGAGTACTACGCTCAGGATCGCAAAATCATCTGGATCTCCCCAGCCCTAAAGATGCCAGGCTGCTGGCTACTACAATGGCCAGGGCCTCTTCTGTGGCAGCTCCGCACGGGTGGAATGAGCTCCCCGAGGATATCAGGGCCCTGCGGGGTTTATTGCAATTCCGCAGGGCCTGCAAGACGGAGCTCTTCCACCGGGCATTTGACTGAGGAGCCGCACTGAATCGTTCAACAGAGGCTAGGACCCTATGCCCCAGAAAGTGCTATTGGCAGCCTGTACTGCGCCGGTACAGCTGAAATATATTATAGGACTTGGACAACAGTCCTGTAATTTCTGCTGACTGTTGCCCACTATGGCTAATAACGAAACAGTGTTTCGCCATCCTCTGTGTATAATTAGCACCTTATAAATATCTTGTTTGGTGTCGTGGTGAAGTGCGCAAACTCTAATCTGGGAGAACCGGCTTTGATTCCCCACTCCTCCACGTGCACCTGGTTGGGTGACCTTGGGCAAGCTGTAGTTCTGATAAGAGCTGTTCTTGGAAAAAGAGCAGTTTCTGTCAAGAGCTCTCTCAGCCCCGCCTACCTCCCAGGGTGTCTGTTGTGGGGAGGGGAAGGGAAAGGAGTTTGTAAGCCGCTCTGAGACACCTTTGGGTAGTGAAGGGCGGGGTATAAATCCAATCTCTTCTTCTTCTAATTGGCTCTTGTCATATTTTGGGTATGACAGATCCCTACATTTGTCAGGGAGTCTTCACCCCCGCAGCTATTGGAAAGGATCTGTCAAGTTGTACCATGATTTTGACAAGGGCCTGTAGCCCATGAAATCCCTTTCTGTTTATATTATCATTATTTATTATTAATTTCAATTTATATCCCGCCTATGCCGGGGCAAACTGGCTTTCTGTAACAGCCTCTCCTTCTCCAGGTGCAGGCACAAGTCCACCCAGAAGATGACTTCAACGGACAGGATGCAAAAAGGACTCCACCGTAAGTATCTGAAGAAGTGAGCCGTGACTCACAAAAGCTCCTCCCCTGCCACAGATTTTCTTAGTCTTTAAGGTGCTCCTGGACTCTTGCTCTTTTCTACTTCCACCATTAAGTGTTCTGATTTAATTGACAGAGTGCTTATGGAAGCATTTGGAACGTATTTCCGACTTCTGCCGCAGTTTTCTGTTGTTGTTCCTAATGCTCCCACGTAATGAAGTTTTAGAACACGTGCCCAGTGCCAATGAATGATTGATCTGCCTGATTCTTTTTTCCCCCCAAATTCTTTTTATTAATTTTCTACAATAAACAGATTTCAGATACATTGCACATAAAATCGTCTTGTGGAGTTGTGGATATAACATTCATATAAGAACACTACAGATAAACACTTTAACATCTACTGTAGGCAGTTGAACAAGTGTTACGATTTTGACTATGTTGTTAGTATCGAGACGAAAGTACATAAGCCTTTCTCTTAGTCATTCAGGACCAATTTGCACTTTAATACTTACAGGCATTGCGATGTCTTGTTGTGATGACAGCTATTGGTGTAGTATTTTTGGACTAGAAATAAGGCCCGTTGTGGAAATAAATACAACGGGAGCTAGAAAGAGGCTCTGGGAGAGTGCTCTGGCTTTGGGCAAACAGTGTCAGTCTGCTTTTAAAACATGAACCTGGGACCTGCACACCACCAGAATACAGCAGGTTCCATATGCAACTGACATTCCAACTGCCTTGCGGGGGGGGGGGGGGTTTGAGGCGTGGAATGGAGTGAAGTCCAATCAGCTTCCATATGCAAAAGACCAGGTTGTCGCAGCAGTTGTGGTGTGGGCGGGACCCGGGCTTTGCCTTCTGATTGGTGGCGATATATGCTGAGGAGCAGTGCCATCAGCCATACACTAAGGGAGTGCATTTTAGAATTAGAACTTTTGCACCCACTATTCAATTATATATAAGGAGAGATATGCGTGGTTACGAGGTTTCAGATCAGAAGCGAAGAGGAATTCCATAAAGGGAAGCCATTTCTCTGTGAAATTATTATTGTTTTTAAAATATATTTTAATTTGTTTTAAAATCATCATTAACAACAATGAACATCAAAAGCATTAAATAAGCAACAACAAGAGATAAGGATCAAGTCGCATCAAAATCTTATTATGTAGCAGTTTGTACGCACATGAGTTTCCATGGCTGCAGTACATGACAGGTGCAGAACTTCTTCCCACTAACACTACTTATTCTTCTTTGCTTTTCCTCTAACTTTCTACTGTACACACTGAGTTACATATAAAAAATATTTTACATCTAAGATCCAGACCTAATCCAGTACTCACACTGGCCTCACTAACAGAGGTAGCATAATTACCAGCACTTCTTATCCTTTCTAATTGGTTGAGAAATGATCAAAAAATGTTCTCTGCGAAATTAGACGTTTTGGGGTAGGGTTCTGAGTGGCGTAGATGATCTGTTATCTTCTCTAAGATTAGGTGATCCCAGACTTCATTCAGCCAGCATGAGCGAGACGGTGCCTTATCAGCTTTCCATCTAGATGCAATGATCTGCCTGATTCTAGCTGGAAGGAAAAGGCACCAGTGGTAGAAAGGAGAACGGAGTTCCAGTGAATTCCTTCTCCTCTTCCTGCGTGGTTCTTGCTCCCATATCGTCCATATGTCCTTGCGCTGTAGCGTCTCCAGATTTGCAGTGAGTGAGCCATGTGTCTTTAGGGCATAAAGGGGTGGATCCTGGAGATCCCTTCCACCCATGGCCTTCCTTTCCTCCCGCGCAGGGGACTCATCTGCGGGCAGAGAGCGATGCCGTTAGCCAAATGGATCCATGGGATCCATCCCCTGGTGTTTGCCTGCGTCTTCGGTGTAGTGGTTAAAGCCAGTTTGGTGTAGCGGTTAGGAGCGCAGACTCTAATCTGGGAGAACCGGGTCTGATTCCCCACTCCTCCGTGTGCAGCCGCTGGCGCGACCTTGGGTCGGTCACAAGCAATGCTCCCTCTAAGCTGCAGAGTCTTGTGAGCAGAAATTCTACTTTGTGAGCTACCAGCATTAAAGTGGTGAGCGAGCGATTTGGCTGCTGCATACATTAGTTTGCTCTGGAGCCATGCCTTCCCGAGCAAAGACGAAAATGTGTGAGCTGGAGGCTAAAAAAGTGTGAGCTAGCTCACACTAACTCAGCTTAGAGGGAACACTGGTCACAAGTTCTCAGAGCTGTTCTCTCACGAGCAGTTCTCAGAAGAGCTCTCTCAGCACCACCTACCTCTCAGGGTGTCTGTTGTGGGGAAGGGAAAGGAGATTGTAAGCCGCTCTGAGACTCCAAGTGAAGGGTGGGGTATAAATATCTCTTCTTCTTCTTCTTCTAGGTGGCGGACATCCACTACAAACGGAGGCATTCTGACCGTGTCTATCGACAATCCCGGCGCAGTGCCATCACCAGTGTGAGTAGAACGGCCTCGGGTTTTTTTTCTTATTTCCATAGGCAGTTGCTAAGAGTTGTAGGAACCCAGTGAAAGTCACTTGATTGGCAAGGAGTCGTGGTCCAGCTGGCTTCTGTCGCAAGCCCTGTCGCTTGGGAGAGAACCTGACCTCTAAATAATACCCATTTAATATGTAAGTTGTTATAAACAGCCTGTGTGGCGCTGTAGCCAGTTGTGTCAAACTGGGATCTGGGAAGCCCAGGGCTGAATCCTCTACTCTGCTAGGGAATCTTGTGTCACTGACCTTTTGCTCTGTCTAACCCTCTGTCTCAACCACCTCGCAGGGTTTTAGAGAATGAAATGGAGGAGGGGAGAGAATTGTAAATTGTTTTGGTCCCCAGAGGGGAGGAAAAGCAGGATACCCATGTGTAAATCAGTACGGTTTGCGGGATCACAACTGTGACCTTAGGATTATTTTCTTTTAAAAATTGTTATTATAAACATCAGAAGAGCCCTGCTGGATCAAAACCAATGGTCCCTTTAGTCCAGCATCCTTACTCACTCCAGTTCCTCTGGAGTGCCAACAACAGAGCAGAGAGGCCGAGGCCTTCATAAGGACTCCAGAAGAGCCCTGCTGGATCAAAACCAATGGTCCCTTTAGTCCAGCATCCTTACTCACTCCAGTTCCTCTGGAGTGCCAACAACAGAGCAGAGAGGCCGAGGCCTTCATAAGAACATCAGAAGAGCCCTGCTGGATCAGACCAGTGAGGATCCATCTAGTCCAGCCTCCTGTCTCACACAGTGGACAGCCAGTTCCTCTGGAGGGCCAACAACAGGGCAGAGAGGCTGAAACCTTCATAAGAACATCAGAAGAGCCCTGTTGGATCAGACCAGGGGTCCATCTAGCTCAGCATCCTGTCTCACACAGTGGCCAGCCAGTTTCTCTGGAGGGCCAACAGCAAGGCATAGAAGCCAAGGCCTTCCAAATAACATCAGAAGAGTCCTGCTGTATCAGACCAGTGGTTCATCTAGTCCAGCATCCTGTCTCTCACAGTGGCCAGCCAGTTCCTCTGGAGGGCCAACAACAGGGCAGAGAGACCAAGCCCTGCCCCTGATGTTGCCTCCTGGTACTGGGATTCAGAGGCTAACTGCCTCTGAATGTGGAAGTTCCTTTTAGTCACCAGGGCTAGCAGCCGCTGATGGACCTCTCCTCCATAAATCTGTCTAATCCCCTTTTAAAGCTGTCTGTGCCTTTGGCCATCACTACATCCTCTGGTAGCGAATTCCACACTTTACACAGAATAATACAGAAGGATGGACACAAAAATCAAGGAAGTTATATCCCTATATTTTGCAAGGTGGCCTTGTTCATTTCCAGTGGAAAGGAGTAAAAAGTCCAGGAACACTTTAAAGACTAACACAATCTGTGGCAGGGGAGGAGCTTTCATGAAGAAGTGAAGAAGTGAGCAGTGACTTGTTCGTCTGAAAGGTGTTCCTGGACTCTTGCTGTTTTCTGCTACTAGAGACAGACTAACACGGTCACCCATCTCGATCTGTCTCCATGGAAGGCGCCACATTTAGCCGTACAGAATGGAAATCCAGGTGCCCGAAGAAGTGAGCCGTGACTCACGAAAGCTCCTCCCCTGCCACAAATTGTGTTAGTCTTGAAGGTGCTCCCGGACTCTTGCTCTTTTCTGCTGCCACAGGCAGACTAACACAGATACCCATCTTGATCTTTTCCCTTCGCCTTAGTTATGAGTTTGGGAATAGATAATGGAGACAGTTCTGTGGTAGGGGAAGGCAAGACTTGTTTGGATAAGTTACTAACAGATGAGATTTCAGTTACCACTAAGCGAACTGCTAGATTTTGTACTCGGGCAATTCAAGTGGGCGGTGAATTTCAGTCTTGCCCCTTTGAGCCTTGACTTAGTTTCCTTTAGACCTATTATACAGCCCCTGTTCCTCTTAAATCTATTGGTTTAAATTTTAAAAATGGTTACTTACAATGCTATTTTATGTATTTCACAGTCTGTTTTTCTCCATTTAATATAATACAAATCTATTTACGTATTGTAAAATCTTCCATTCCTGTATTTTAATTGGAGTTCTTAATCTGTATATTTGAATATCTGCATAATATTTGTTTTTTAACCGGATCTGGTCACGGACCGTAATATAATAAATTACTTACTCACTACTTGGGAATAGATAATTTGGTCCTCTCTGCCAGGACGTTTTTGTGAATTGTACTTTCCACAGCATCTTTGTTCATTGCGGTGTTATGACGTATTTTTCTACAGCTCCTTGAAGCCAAGGCTAACTAATCCTCCGATCCCTCCTTTCCTCATGAAGAGAGAACAGACGGACGAGAAGAAGGTACCTAAAGGTGTTCCGCTACAGTTTGACATCAACAGTGTTGGAAAGCAGGTTGGTGGTTCCACAGCTGCGTTGTGTGATTGGTCACACAGTGTCCTCTGTCTGTAAAATGGGCTTCTTTGCTACTGCATGGGTGTGCATATGTACCGTGAAGTCACAGCCGGCTTATGGTGACCTGGTAGGGGAGGGCTTCTAATGTCCTGGCCCCACTGCTGGACCTCCTGATGGCACTGGTATTTCTGGCCACTGTGTGACACAGAGTGTTGGACTGGATGGGCCTTTGGCCTGATCCAACATTGGCGTCTCTTATGTTCTTATGTTCTTATGTAAGCCAAGCCATGACAGGATGTTGAGCTATTGGATTTTGAACCAACCATGGGGGAGTTGCTGTGTGAGGAGGGAGAGTGACAATGACAACCAAGAGTAAGAAGCTCAATTCAGAATGACTGTTCATCCTTGGCTGATGTGGGGAAGCCTGGGATACAAAGGTCACTTTGAAGAAGAAGAACAACATGCTGCCGAGTGGCAACTGATCCCTTCCTGCCCTTGCCTTCCTCTGTGTAGCAACCCTGGACTTCCTTGGTGGTCTCTCATCCAAGTACTGACCAGAGTCGACCCTGCCTGGCTTCCGAGATCTGACAAGACCAAGCTAGCATGGGCCATCATGTCATAGTTCAGATATTACTGTAAAATCACAGAGCAAGTTGCCTATTAAACATATCAGTGTGGTTTGCCTGTTTAAGTCTGAGTTTCGCTCAGAGATTCCGGTTCCCATATTCTCTGGCTTCCCCTTTTCCCCAAGCACTTTCCGATCTTGTTCATAAAGTGAAACCTTCCCTGCATGTCTCTTCTTCTGTGCCAGCTTCTTGTCCCATCTCTTGATGTGCTACTTTTGCTTTTTGTCTTCCCGTACTGTGTGGTTATTAGAAGAAGAGAAGAAGAGGAGATTGGATTTATACCCCACCCTTCACTACCCAAAGGAGTCTCAGAGCGGCTTACAAACTCCTTTTCCCTCCCCCTCCCCACAACAGACACCCACCCTGTGAGGTAGGTGGGGCTGAGAGAGCTCTTGAAAGAACTGTCCTTGAGATTACAGTTCTGACAGAACTACGGCTTGCCCAAGGTCATCCAGCAGGTGCACGTGGAGGAGTGGGGAATCGAACCCTGTTCTCCCAGATTAGAGTCGTTGCACTTCACCACTACACCAAACTGGCTCTCATTCTGTTTCACTGATGCAGCTCTGGCCCAGAGAGCCAGCGTGGTGTGGTGGTTAAGCGCCGCGGACTCTTAATCTGGAGAACCGGGTTCGTTTCCACAGTCCTGCGCATGAAGCCAGCTAGGTGACCTTGGGTCATTCCCCCCTCTCTCGGAGCTCTCTCAGACCCCCCCTAGTCTCACTCGCCATTTGGTGGTGCATAACCCAAAAAGAGTTGGAATTTAAGGGTGATAGGCCATCATGGGATCTCCTTGCTATACCACACGATGATGATTACTTATTTAGCTCTGGCCAAGGTTGATTGGCATGGGTTAGATCTGGAAGTCCTTTTCTGCTGACATGCAGCATTTCCGGGGAAGGGGTGTGGCTCAATGGAAGAGCCTCTGCTTGGCAGTCAGAAGGTCCCAGGTTCAATCTCTAGTTAAAAGGAGGTGTGAAATCCCTCAGCCTGAGACCCTGGACAGCTGTGTAGAGGGGCTGTGGCTCAGCGGTAGAGCATCTGCCTGGCATGCCGAAGGTCCCAGCTTCAGTCCCCGGCATCTCCAACACTCTGTCACACAGTGGCCAAAAATACCAGGTGCCCTCAGGAGGTCCAGCAGTGGGGCCAGGACACTGCTAGGAGAGCCAGTTTGGGAGTAGTGGTTAAGTGCGCGGACTTTAATCTGGGAGAACCAGGTTTGATTCCCCACTCCTCCACTTGCACCTGGCTGGATGACCTTGGGCAAGCCATAGTTCTGATAAGAGCTGTCCTTGAAAGGGCAGTTCTTGTAAGTGCTCTCTCAGCCCCACCGACCTCACAGGGTGTCTGTTGTTCTGAGACTCTTAAGTGAAGGGCGGGGTATAAATCCAATCTCCTCCTCCTCTTCTTTTTATTTATTTTTCTACCCCGCCCTCCCTGCCGTGGCAGGCTCAGGGCAGCTTGCATGGAATAATAAACGGCCGAAACAAATATCGATAAAGTCATAAACAGCATAAATATAAAACCAGTGCAAAGATGGTTTGTATACGATGGCGGACATAAGCAGCACCTGACAAAACAGTCAAGTCAGCTACCATTGTAGTCTGGGGTTATGCAGGCTGTTAATGACGATGTTAATGACGATGTTAACATAATATTAATGTTAACACTAGAAGC